ATAAATTTAACGAATTATTAATTTATGATGTTGATCTCAAATCAAGAAATCAAAAGTATTATTTAATTGAGATTATTAATTTAACAAAATTCTACTATACTAAATCAATTTCGAGAATTATGTGGAGAGTGGATCTCCTTTTCCACGCAATTGAATAAAGGAACTCTTCAACAGTGCGTAATCTTACATTTATTATTCAAGGATATTAATTGGTGAAAGAATAATTATCTTACACAATCTATGAATTTAATCAATATAAATGGGTGTAAAAAAAGAGAGGAATAGGACCAATATTCTGGATAAGCTGTCTTCTATGTTCTACACTGAAGATGGAAGAGAAATAAAAGAAGACAAGGCTACTAAACTTGTAGAAATGGGCATTGTTTGTGCCAACCCTGCAATGATGGGACCTTATGAAGTCAAAGGCATTTCTTGAATTCGAACTTTGCTCTCTTACTCCGAATCCTTAAGGCTTTCACTTGTAAGCCACATTTTCTTTTGAATTATGAGCACTACGTCCTCATCTTGCTCTGAGTCCAGCTGAAAGTCTGTGTTGCCATGATTCCCAGTGTAATGCTCCTAAATATTTCTTTATTCAACCTACCGTCGTCGCTTATCATTAACATCGATGAAACCCTTAGGCCTCAAGATACGGTCGATTTCTATTAATAAATCCACAATGCTACAGTCTTTCTTCTCAATATCAGAGAAGACAGTCCAAGCATTGAGGGAGTTCATAAGTTCTGGATAAGTTGAGAAGCTTTCACACCTGTTAGTTGCCAGGCACAGGAATTTTAGCAACAATAGGATTACTTCAAGGCAGAACAAAATGAAATATATGACAATGCGAACTGAAAAAGGGGGGTTGTGTTTGTGTGGGTGTTGGGAATGGATCTTTCCAAGGCTGGTTATGTCCTGCAAAACAATCTTGCACCTCAGGGGTTTCCCCTTATTTCATTCAGGGTAAAGCAAAAACTGCTTACACTTAGGTAAAGCATATGTAGAAGGGCTTTAGAACATTTCTGATAATTGATTGCAGCAGTCGATTACTCAGATTCATATTAGCTGTTAATAACTTCTTCGATCTGGGAGCTGTAACTGTTTGGTCTCTTGGAACCTATGGAGTCTAGACCCTGCCTGCTACACTCTTTAGTCCCTGAGAAAACTAACTATTAACCTTTCTGAAGGTAAACTAAGTATCAGCATGTCTATTTGGAAATCCTCACCACAACCTTCCTTGGCCCCCTCGAAGCAGGACTATGCTAAAAGAAGCCATTGCATATTAAACAAACAAAGTCAAATTAATTGTCTAATTAAAATTCTTAACATACCAGTTATGGACGGTTCCTATCAGGCCTCTGTCATATATTATCTTCAGAGTGTTAGGTCCATCTTCTGGCACCACATTCATCACCCAAACATCTTTGTCATTCAGAGCAGCTGCAAATGAACCCATGTTTGCCTTCATATCCATTAAATTTCTCACTGTATCAGACTCAATATGTGGACCCAAAAGATTCCAATAGTTTTCAACTCTTCGCTGCCAAAGTTCCTGCAACACATCAACCACTGTCGTAAACCAGCTTCTTTAATGCATGCACAGATAAATAGGTAGAAGTTTTGAGACAGATTACCGTGTCCTTTGCAAACATTTCATCAGAGTAGCCCAAATCAGCAAGACGGGGAGGTGGAGTAGTCAAACGAGCAGGCCAAGGAGCCAACCCACTCCCTCTTGCTTTCTGAATTTCTGATTGGATTGAAACAGCATGTCAACTTCCAACATTAATCTCTTCTAGCATGGAATCAGCTTATAATGCAACAAGAAAGCAAGGCACAGAGCAATGTTTCTTTTGAGAAATAAAAATTTTATGGGAAATTCTCCTCCTTATTTAATATTGACAATAGAGGTTTACTTCCCTAATTGTCATAAATTATAAAAGAATAGATAAAAAATCAATCATTAATGCATGCTTAATTCTACCTTTCTGCATATAGTTTTTACAACTTACAGATGCAAAAAGCAATAACATTAAGATACCAGAAGATTGCACTAGGTAAGTAGAGAATCTCATTGAAAAGGAATACAAGAGTAACTAGACTCTAAAGCATGCTTTTCGTTCTAAAACAATGGCTTCAAAGTTAAAAGTCATTTCTATCTAAAAAAGAGTGCTGTGTCAACATGATTAGTTCTACTTTGCATATTTGGTAGAAAAAGTTATTTTAGTCTAAAGTCCTTGAGCTTTACACTAGTCTCTTCAACACATACATGTAGCAATAGTCCATGTTTAATTCTAGCTTGCAGATGGAAAGAATCCATTGGATACTTACTTCAGTCTAAATTTGAAGGAATTTCACAAAATTCTGTACAATATTTATGTAGCAATAGTTCATAGATAGGGAAAGCAGACGATCAGATGAAATATACAAGACAAAGGGCAGAAGTACTCACGACTGGAGTAAGGAGTGATACAAACTTCCATTGGAACACCCCAAACTGCATCTGGATCATCATCAGATTTGCATATGGGAGGATGAGTACCAGGCTCTCTTTGCATGTAACAGTCATTTGTCAGGGGTTTGACCCAAATAACAGTTTGATTCCTTTTAGCAGCTATCTTCCAACACATTCGTTCCACGAGGGCACTCATTGCTCTCCAAATTCTCAAATCTTCTTCATCCTGGGCATATGCTTCAGGAGATGAATAGGCAAAATAACCTCCCGGCCTGAGTACCCGGTCTAGCTCAAGAAGAAGGATTCCATTCCTTTGAAGCCAATCAATCCTACAACGTGAACAATGTGCAAGTTCAAAAGATCTACTTGGGTAAGGAAGTCTCTTTGTCCCTAAAACACCAAGATATGCAGGAATTCCTCTCTCCAGGGCAAACTGGATCTGGTTTTGATGAACATCATTTGGTGCTAAAGACATTGCAATGATATCAGACGAAAGAAGATATCCTCCAAAACTAGCAACTCCACAACCCACATCAAAAATAGTTCGAATATTTCCCTCATTGTTTAAAATGTTGTCTGGAAAGTTCAGCATCTGCCAGTTGAAAACATGAATATGATTACTGCTGATGATCAGACTGAGTTTTATATATTCAAATAACCAGTATTTTGTCCTTTTTCCTTCCTGAACAGGACAATTCACTTACATTTGCCATTGAAGCAATATACTTGTCTGCCCCATAATGGAAGTGAGTTCCGCCTCCAGGAAATGCAATCTTGTCACCCTTGACAATCATCCAATTCTGGTCAGATTTTTCCGTTGCAAGGTGGGTATGTGGTATATTTGCTTTCCATACCTCATCCCTGCTTTTGGGCCACTTGATAGGTATCTGAAACCATCAAGAACTAAACACTTTATAATGCCTAAACCTGCACGGCCAGAAACCTATGAACTTTTCTTAATTCCATTTAACATAGAAAACTAGAGCAAGGCTTCACCTTGTACCCAGGTGGAGGAGGAATCAAACAATTGTAGCATCTTTCAGGCTGTGGGCAATGTCTTTCGTAGTGTTCCATCAAAGATAAATCCAGCTTCAATCTTGTCTGGTATATAAAATTCCTGTCTAGGCAAGGAATAAGCTCGGAATGTCGATCATCACAAACCTTTGACAAAGCAATTAGCAGCAAAAACAATTTATATCAGGTCATCCATAAACCAATACAAGTGCAAAATGGTAAAGAAGTTGGCTCATATAAATTTCACTCACAGGGAAACTCCTCAGCGTAACACCATCATCTCCATCTTCAGCTAGTTTAGCAGAAGTATCAACAGTATCTTCATCCCCATGCCAGTAAGAAGAACCAAATTTCCTCAAAGATTTACTTCCATACTCTAGTGCGGATGAACTGTTGTTTCGGGTGTATACATAGAAGCAACCACAACAGATAACCAAAACTACCATCCAAGTGATTAGCCGTTTCCTTGGATTCGCATCAGCTCTTCCCCTTGTCATATTTTTTTTCTCTTTTCGACCAAACCAAGAAGAAAGAGGAAAAGGATCTCCCTTCTACTTTGACTTCAACATACAGAGAGGAAATAAAGAAAGAATCTTTACAAATCAAATTATTGGATTCAAAAGACTAACTATACATTTAATATCCAAATAACTAAGTCAATATTTCACTCAAAGAAAATACCTCAAATTAGCAGTGTCTTTGACTCTTCCCCAACTCGCATATTCATAGGAAACTGATAGGAAAACAAAATACATACAAAATTTCAAAAGCAATTATATCAAAAAGACCCACACAACGCACCCTCAGCTCCTCGGCTATTAATAAATACAAAACCATTCATTCCAAGAATCAGTGGTGGAAAATGCACGAAATAAGACCATTTAGAGGACTAAACCATTATCATATTACAGACATTGAATCCAATAGAACACATTAAAGAAGCATTGGCAGTGAAATAAATAACAGAGCCGTAGTATTAAAAAGGATTCATTAAACCCTTACAACAGAAGAGAAAGATATTGCAGAGATGAAAGAGGACAAACCCAGATCAAATAGAACAAACAGTTGGGCAGTTACAGTAAATAGACAAATCAAAGCATTGAAATTTGGAATTAATACAGCGCAAGTGAAGAAAGAATCAGGGGGCAAAAAGGGAAATAGAAAAAGAGGAAAGGAATCAAATATAACAGTAATAACTAGTAAAGCACCGACAGTTGCATTGTCGACTACAATTTGACATCCAAACCAAATGCTTTGAAAGAGATAGAATAGAGCCAGTTCAGTCTTTCAAAGTTTCAACATTTCTACACCTTAAAAGTAATAATTAAATATAAAAAGAAATGCTGTCGGCAACGTGGGCAAAGAAGCGAAAGAAAAAAATTAATAATTAACGGCTGAATTAATCAATGAATGCACGTACCTGTAAAGAGAGAAATTAAAAACTTGCTAAAAGTGGAAAGAGCCCGTGGGGAGCAGTGAAGAAACCTTTACGGACGAGCAGAAAGGGAAAATTTTTGTTTCTTTTGAGATCTTTCAGAATGTTAAAGCTGTTTCTGGTTTTCTGTTTTTAGGCTGTAAGTCAGTTAGCGGGAGAGACAGAGAACAAGTTTAACGACAATGAAGGCGGTCGTTTGGTTGGTTTCAACATTCAGGTGTAGACGGCGGTTTTTTCTGTGGTTTTCGTTAGAGATTTAGAAGAAATCTTTTCTTTTTCCCTTTTTCTTGTTTCAGTCAAATTAACTATAATAGTGGAAGTGTGGCACAGAGCTGACGTAAATGCAGCTCAAATTTAACCAAAAAAAAAACCATTTTATAAATAAATAAAATATGGATAAATGTAATTAAAAAACTTCAGTTTAACTATAATTACACGTCACAGCGCTGAACAACTGAATCCAAACTGAAAAGTTCAAAGTCGGAGACGTGGGCTCCGCCGCAAATGTTCGAATTCCCGCCGTGTTAGGGTTCTGAAAGGGAACTATTTTCTCTCATTAGGGATGGAGAAAGGGAAAAAACGCACAAGAGAAGAAAATAAGGAAGAGATCGAGGCCGGAAGTAGCGATGCTGATCATTCTCTTTCTCTTGGTATGAAACTTCACGTTTCAATTCCAGTTAATTCACCTAAGCAAAAAACATAATATTTCCTTTTGATTTATAGCGAATGTTTATCATGACTGGTCTCTTATTTTGCAGAGCAAAATCTTACCTTCAGCGACACTTTGGTGGCGCTTCGTATAATGCGAGCTCAGTTTCCTCAAATTGATAAGGTCAGCTCTCTACTTCTCCTTCAATTTCTGGGTAATGTACGAAGCAACTTTCAGATTTGTATAAGACTACAGTTATCGCATTAATTTGAAAAATTCCTTTGAAAATACACTTATCCTAAATTGTAATGGTGTTGTATGTTTCATTAATTTTATACAAAAAGACAACATATTTTTTGTTATTTATTTCTGCATTTTATATTTTAATTTTTTTTCATTTTGTCTTTCTTTCTTTCTATTTCTTTTTGTTTGTCCAAAGCTTTTTGTTCGTAGTTACAAAATTGTGAGATTTAATTTATTATAATTACTATTGAAAATTTTTATTAATTTTAAAGTAAATCATCTTTAATTGTTATCAAAAGTTAGGTTAAATATAACTTAATTATGTGTTAAATTATATATTATTCATTAAGAAAAATAATTTTCATTCATGAGCTTTTTGTTTAATATAAACTTACCCCATTAGTTTGAAATACGCTCTTTATCTTTTTCAAAAAAGTAACTGGTGTTAGGATTTTGTTAACCGAACTAATATTTGTTCAAAGTTTATTTTAAATACTAAAAGTACGGTCATTTTGGTTTTTCTTTTTTGAGTTTTAATCAATTCTTTATCACTAAACCTTATTTTTTTGAAAGCAGTGGTAATTAGTTTATTTTAACTAAATATAATTTTATACATTCATTTCAAAGTTTATATGTAATCGAATTAAAGATAAGTTAAAAATGTTAATATGTAATTGGCGTAACATATAACTTAATTGAAATTTAATTTGATAGTGATTAAAGATCATTTTAAAACAAATAAAATCTCACAACTAACTAATCTCATAATTTTGTAGTTAAAAAAATCTTGTGTAAAAGAAAAAATAAAGAAAAGAGAAAGAAAAACAAAATAAATACACAATAAATAATTAAAAAGGGTATATTTGTCTTTTCATTTAATGTTAATTCTGTAATTAACACTCATGAGTGTATTTTCACGAAACTTCAGGGGGGTAAGAGGATATTTTCAAATTAAGGGAGGGTAGGTGTATTTTCTACTAAACCTCATGGGGGCTTTGGTATTTTTTCCTAAATTTCCACCTTTCCTTCTGAAAATAGTTTATTTAGCAATTTTCAATTTTAAAAGCAAGGTTTTTGGGTTGCAATGCGTAATTTTAATTATGTAACTTTTGTGTAAAGCTGTAAAGCTAAAATTCATTCATTTGATTTGGTTCTGTTTCGTAGGCTGCAATTCAGCCTTTCATTTTGCAGTCACAATTGTATAGCAGTGTAAAGGACAGAACTCAAGTGGATAGGGACCTAGAGGTTTGGTTCCTTAACCTTGAAATTTGGAAAATTACTTTGCATACGAAGTTGTTCCTGAATTATGATTCAATTTAAGTTGGGCCAAAAGTTTATTTTATTAATTGAATCTTGAGAGTAGCAATAAAAAAGCTTTTATTTATTTATTTTTGGTTTAAATGCTGTTGCAATCTGAAGTAAAGTTTATTCAAGTTATTATAATTAGTTGTGTGTTTGGCATGTTAGTCTTGCATTTTACGCTGAAGCCTCAAATTTTATATCCAAGTTGTTGGACTTTATTTTATGATATATATATATTTGTATATATATTCTAGTTGATTTTCTGCACTTTATGTATTTCTCTAGGGCATCACGTGGTTTTTCAGGAGAAAAAGGTATCACCTACTTTACAAGTTCGAACTAGATCCATATGCGTTTTGCATTTTTAGTTAGACGTGTATGTTTCATGATTAATACATCATGTGGTTCTTGGTAAAATAGATATTTGGGACATGTTTCATGGCTGAAAAATGATAAGAAAAGATTCTCTCTGTACAGTGAGTGCCTGGCTTTTGTGAAATGAGCATGTATATGTTCTAGTTTGTTAGGAGTTTCTTTGATTGCGATACTTTTTTCAACTTTCTCTCCTGCAGTTATATATGGAATAACTTTTTCTTTTTGTCTCATGTGGTTTATGTTATGTGTTCTCTTTTGTGCAGTCTCTAAGGAGGGAGAAAGTTGTGCGCATTTTCAAACTAAATACCGGGCAAGATGATCATGGTATAATGCTTTTAGATGATTATATAAAGCAGGTTGGTTGATTGATATTTGTGAATTCATTTGATTAAGGATGATTAGGTTGTCATTCTTAGTTTTCAACTTTAATGTCAATAGTTCAAACTGAGAGTCTGTTACAAGCTGGACTGGCCTCTGATTGAGAAATTAGGTTCTATGTTGCTTGGCATTATTAATAAGGGATGCTTGTTTTGTTGCAATGCGAACTATGCGAGTTACATTTTGACAGATTTTCAGTGTCCCATAATATTTGTACAGATGGAACATGTTATCAGAAGAATGGAAGAGAGGAAACAAGGTGATCTCGAAGTTTTTAAGTGGTTTAAAGCGTATGTTATTGAATCCAAGTTGGAACCTAGCATTGAACATCAAGAACTCGTGAGTGACCCAAACACCAATGAACTGTGTTCTTTATTTACTTTTTACTCTACTCGAGATAGACATAACTGTGTTTATTGGAATCCTGAGTCACCAACTGCATTCTGTGAGTACAATTTTGAGTCTTTGTGTGAACATTTTTTCTGTGTCTGTTTGTGTTTGTATGTCTGGATGCTTATTCTTTGTGTTTACCATGCTTGTCTATTATAATCCATGTGTGGTGCACCTAGTTTTCCCCCCGTTATAAGGTATTGTCTTGAAAGTTTCTTTGAGGAACATTGGTTCTTATAATTAAAATTATTTTACAAAGTAATAGATCCTAGCCACTAGTAGTCTATTAAATCTTTAGTTTGGATCTCCAGCTTTTGTATTTTTCTCTTTGGTCTCTTACTTTATTGAATTTTGATACAGAGAACAGACAGATGTACATATATTTTTCTTGAATTAGGTAGAGGTGTTAACATTTGTTAAAATGGGCATAGGTTCAAGTGATCCTAATTTTCTTTATGATGCAACTATAGTACCTAATTTTAATCTCTTACCACAGCGTCCTTTCACTTGGAGATTTGACATGCCAAAAGCTTTTTGTAATTAATCTGTCGATGTCCTTTACAGATAAATTTTCTACTTGTGTCGTACTTCAAGTGGTTCAAACCATTTCCTTAAGTAATCATTCTGGATCTATAGCCAACTTGTAATTCGTATTTCAATAGCGTTTTGAAATTTGTTTTGGATGTTGATTGCCATGTGTTTGTTTGTTGTTTTTATTTGTAAACTACTTTCATATATTTGATAAAGGTCTATTTCCACAATGTGGCTATTCTATTTGTAATAGAATAGAAAATATGGAAAAGACTAAACCACCTCAAACCTTCAGTAGCCCTAGCACATGACAATACATATCAGTCTTTAACACTCCCCTCAAGCCAGAGCACAGATATTGATCATGGCCAGCTTCTTTCAAATATAATTAATTCTAACTCGAGAAAGATTCTTAGTAAACAAATCTGCTAACTGCTCTCCCATGCTCATATAGGAAGTATATATCAATTTTTGTTGAATTTTCTCTCGTACAAAATGACAATCAACCTCAATATGTTTTGTCCTTTCATGGAACACTAGATTAGAAGAAACATGCATAGCTGCCTGATTATCACACCGCAATCTCATAGGAGATGAATCTGCAAAACCAATTTCCTCCAACAAATGACGAATCCGCATAAGCTAACAAGTAGTTTGTGCCATAGCACAATACTTGAACTCTGCACTAGACCTTGCTACCACATTCTGCTTCTTACTCTTCCATGATACCAAATTTCCTGCCACTAACACAATATCCTGTAGTAGATTTTCTATCATCTTGTGACCTAGCATAACAGGCATTAGAAAAGCCGTCAACTCAAGTATGTCGATGATATCCATATACGACCCCTTTGCCTGGTGTCTCTTTCAAATTCTTTAGAATATGAACCAAAGCATCCCAATGCATAGTAGTAGGTGCTGACATGAATTGACTTACTACACTCACTAGAAAAGAAACATCAAGACGAGTCACTGTCAAGTAATTCAATTTACCAACTAGCCGTCTATATATTTCAAGATCTACAAATGCCTCCCACTCTTGCTATAAGCTTAACGCTTGATTCCATAGAAGTCTCACAAGGCTTTGTTCCAAATAATCCAACATCTTTGAGCAAATCTAGTACATACTTATTTTGGGAGAGAAATATAACCTTTTAGGAGCGAGTTAAATAAATCCCTACAAAGTATTTTAAGGAACCCAAGTCTTTCGTTTGAAATTTTGCTTAAAGAAAAACCTTAAGATCATGAATACCTTGTTGATCACTACTTGTAATCACAATATCATCAACACAAACAATCAGCAAAATACAACCATTTTCAGTATCTCGAAAGAACATAGTATGATCACATGAACTCCACGACAGTTCAAACTCCAATACCACATCGCTAAACATCCTAAACCAAGCTCTAGGAGATTGTTTCAAGCCATACAATAATTTTCTCAACCTGCACACTTTAGCAAACTCCCGTTAAGCAACAAACCTAGGTGGTTGTTCCATATACACCTTTTCTTTTAAGTCACCATGAAGAAATGCATTTGTCACATCCAAATGGTATAAAGGCCAATGATGAGTAGCAGCTAAAGAAAGAAATATACGAACAAAAGTTAATTTAGCTATAGTAGAAAATGTGTTTGTATAATTCACACAATATGTTTTAGCATAACTCTTAGCTACCAATTGGGCTTTCAATCTAGGAATAGTTCCATCAAGATTCACCTTTATTGTTTGCACCTATTTGCACCCAGTGACCTTTTTACTTGATGGAAGTGAAACTAAATCCCAAGTACTATTAGTCTTAAGAGCCAACATTTTCTCTTCGCTGGCTGTTTGCCAACCATCATGAGATAATGCCTCAATAAAAGTCTTTGGAAGTGAAACTGAATCAAGAGAAGCAACAAAGGAACAAGAACAACGAGAAAGATGGTCATAGGACACAAAAGAAGAGATGGAATGTGTGCATTGATGCTTTCCTTTTTGAAGAGCAATAAGGAGATCAAGATCAAGATCTGATGATGTAGAAGTTAGTACAAGAAGTGAATCGGACGACTTATCTATGGGCTGAAGAACTGTTGCATCAGCGCCATGATAACAGGTGTACCACCTGTGTGATAGGAGGTTAAGATGAAACAGATGGAGTATCAAGACTAGGAGTACTCACTGTATAAATCAAGATATCATCTATTGTCTCTGTCTCAAAAACAAAGGAAGGAGGACCAGCAAAGAAAGGACTATGCTCAAAGAATGTGACATCACAAGAAACAAGATACTTGCCTAACTCTAGTGAGTAACAATGATAGCCTTTCTATGTACATGAGTAACCTAAGAATATATACTTTTTAATGAGCAAGGATCTAGCTTACTAACAAGGGGTTGCATATCTTGAACAAAACAAGTACAACCAAATAGCTTGGGAGGTTAAGAAATAAGGATTGATTTGGAGAAAAGATACAATATGGTGTTTGACGTTGAAGAACAGATGAAGGCATGCGACTAATAAGAGATGTAGTTGTATGAACATCAGCCTAAAAAACATTAGGAACCCTCATTTGAAACATTAATGCTTTAGCAACTTTCATAGGATGACGATTTTCTCTCTACTACATTTTGCTTAGGAGTAACAATACAAGAAGACTAATGAATAATAGTATTTTGTATCATGTAAGAACTAAAACAATTAGAGAAACACCCTTTAGCATTATCATTAAGGATACTAATATTAGGGTTAAATTGAGTATGAATTTTTGCATAAAACGTAACAAAGATGGAAAACACCTCATATCTAGATTTTATTAAAAATACAAGTAGTTATGGAAAAATCATCAACAAATGTTACAAAATACTTAAAATCGGTTTTGAAGTCACAAGACATGGACCCCAATCATCAGAATGAACTAACTCAAAAACAGACGTAGCCTCTTATTAACTCTAGACACATATGGCACACATGGTGCTTGGCAAACTCACAAGACTCACATGGTAAACTAGACATAAATACTAAGTTAGGATACATTTCTTCAACACTGATAAAGATGGATGACCAAGTCGACAGTGAAGTTGGAAAGGGGAAAGATCACTAGAATAGGCAATTGACGCACCAATAGAAGTAGTAATAACTTCATCTAGTAAGTATAATCTGTTTGATTCATTCCACTATCAATAATCTTCCAAGTCAAGAGATTCTGAAATAGACAATAACCAGGAAAGAAGGCAACGTAACAATTTAAGGCTTTAGTTATTTGGCTAATAGACATCAAGTTTGATGGAAAATTAAGAAGATGCAAAACTGAAGATAAAGGAAATGACAGATTAACAAATGTACTAACACTACCTAAGACTTTAGTAGTTGACCTGATGTAGGCTCATCAACAATTCTATTTTATTTAGTATTTTCATTAGCATAGGATTTTATTTTCTTTCTTTTATTTACTTTGAATTTTTTTCCTATATTTATTAGAATTTTGATACATGAGATGGACTTGTAAATCAAGTGGCAAGAGTTGGATTGGAAGGCTGGTTACTACACACCTTTGATCTAAATGGTCAAGGAATTAAGGTTGAAGTAGTTGATTTTCATGGGAAGTTTCATGCAAAGGATTATTTGGATTGAGAAGCTAGTTTGAAAAATTACTTTGAGCGGAAAACCATGGTAGAAAATTGAAAAGTGTTATTTGTAAAGCAAAAATTGAAGGTCAATGGTGCAAGAGAGTTGAAGAGCAATGTGCGCGACAAGGGAAGCTTAAAATCATCACTTGGGAGCACATGAAAAGTAAATTATGAAAGCAATTTTTGCCTATTGATTATACCATGGAATTATATGTGATTATACTGTGGAATTATATGAAAAGTTTCATTGCTTGAAAGAAAATAACATGACAATTGAGGAATATACATCGAAGTTAAATAACTTATCAATTCGGGTTGGGTTAATAGAGAGTAATGAACAAATTACTTCTTGTTATCTTGCTGGTTTAAATCATTTTATTAGAGACGAGATGGGAGTAGTTCGTTTGTTCATTATTGAAGATGCTCGTCGATATGCTTTAGCAACGGAAAAATGAGTTTCACGCTATGGTGCTAGAAAGGCCTTATATTACACTGATTAGCAAAACTATTTAGTAGCAAGACAAGGTTACGAAACATACTTACAAATTACCGAGAGGCTACCACAACCAATAAAACTAATGGGGTTGCAACCAATGTTGAAAAGAACGATAAAGGCAAAAGTATAATGCTTTATGGTGGATAAAATAATTCTGGTTCTTCTACAAATACAGGATGTAGCAATTCCCAGATTCGATGTTTTACTTGTGGGGAGAAAGGACATACTTCTTTTGCTTGCCCACAAAGAAGGGTGAACTTAGCAGAATTTAAGGAGGAATTAGAACCCATTTATAATAAATATGAGGAAATAGAGAAAATTGATGTGTATCTGGCACAAGTGAGTCCTTAGTGGTACGAAGGATGATGACTACAACCATCAATGAGGAAGCAAAAGATGGAGGAGGTGAAGCATTTTTCGCACACGTGTTGTTCGTGAAGGTAAAGTGTGTGATCTTATTATTGATGGAGGAAGCATGCAAAATGTTATTTCAAAAGAGGCAATAGATAAATTGAAGCTTCCTACAAGCAAACATCCTCACCCTTTCAAGATTAGGTGACTAAAGAACGGATATCGGTATTGGTAACTACTCATTGTTTGGTGAAATTCGCTATGGGAGGTAATTTAGATGATGAGGCTTTATGTGATGTTGTGCCAATGGATGTTGGTCATATTCTTGTTGGTAGACCTTAGTTGTATGATCATGATATGGATTATAAGACGAAGTCAAATACCTATTCCTTTTACAAGGACAACAAGAGGTATACTTCATATCCTTTTAAAGAAGAGGCTAAGCAATTGGCAACTTCAAGTCCCACAAGTAGCAAAATCAGTAAAATTGCTGGGTATTTATCTGCTGAAAATTTTGAAGTTGAAGGCAGTAATGAAGAAGAATTGAAACAAGTAAATCTAGACATCTATGAGGAGTATGTTAAGGCCTACTTGTCGGAGTTGAGTTTTTTTTTTACCCGAGGTTACTGATGCAGGCACATCAAGAATTCTATTTTATTTAGTATTTTCGTTAGCTTAGGATTTTATTTTCTTTATTTTATTTAGTTTGAGATTCTTTTTCTTATATTTATTAGAATTTTAGTACCTTAAGTCTTATTTAGGATTAGGATTTATCTTAGCTAGTATAAATAGGTGATCCTAGATAGAGGATTATTACTAATTTTTGTTTATTTTGAAGTTTTATTCAAGAGGTTTCTTTGAAACCCAATTATCTTTTATTGTTCCAAACACAATCAACCCCATTCAAGCCTAATTGTTGAGTTCTAATTATCTTAAACCTTCCGACTACATCATGCCCATCAGCAACAGTGATATAGTATAGTGATTGGAATGCCTATAAGTGGATAAAAATACTTGAATTTCCTGTCATGTGGTCAATGGTACCTAAGTCAATGACCCAGTGATGAAATGAAGAAGAAAGACATGCTGCGGGATTACCTGGCTTAAACTAAGGTTGCAATAGAAGAGGATGAAGGCTGCTGAGACTTCTGGAATTGCGTATATCTGGAAAACTCCTATCACATGGCCTTCAATGCGGGGTGAAGTAGAATTGCCAACTTGTAATGCTGCATTAGCAAATTTAGAGGTGACTTGATACTGCTGCTGCTGTTGTTGTTGTTACCCTTGTGAAGTAGGCTGATAATGATAATTTTGTTGTCTCTGCAGGGTTTAGAGCATTGATTCCTAAGGTGACCTTGTTCTCCATAATTATAACACACTTTTGGACCTCCATGAGCATCTATTCCTTTTCCACCACGACCTCCTCTAAAATTGCCTTATTCCCCACTTGATCTTCCTCTATATCCATAGCCAAACCCATTATTACCTTGTCAGACTAAGGCAGAGATTGATCAAACATATCATTAGTAGTAAAAACACTTTCCTTGATAGCACTTAGTACAGTGATAACAATATCAAACAATGAAGAAACATCCTTGTTAGCCAAGAGTTGAGAATGAATCATGTCATGCTCTAAATTTAAACCAGATAGCCAACCAAAGACAAACAATCTCTCAAGGTATTCTTTCATTTGAGCCATATCAGTAGAAAGTAGCATGGCAGTGTAAGAATCTTCAATAGCACACTTATAATCATAGTAATAATCCATAATTGTACGTCCATTTTGACTTGGATGACTAACCTCTAGTGATAAAATGTGCAATCTCTTCATACTCTTTGTGCCTGGAAAACACTCATGCAATAACTCTCATAACTTTTTAACCGTCATAGTATGTTGCATTGAAAAAACCATCTTTCTATCAACACAACTAACAATCCAAGAAAACAGTCTTCCATCATCTGTCATCCATACCTTGGTAGTATCTTCTTTATCTGGATAGGGTTCAGTAAGATGTGCTTCCTTCCCAAGTCCTCTTACTTTAACTTTAACTAGAAACTTCCATTCTACAAAATTAGAACCATCTCTAGCTAGCATAACATCAACTATTTTGTGATGTGAGGACAACCTCCACACTCTCACAACCTTCTGACTCCATCCGCCACTATTAAAAAAAATTAACACACCAAAAACTAACCAACCTCATATTCGACTAACAAGCTCTACCAATCTTAATAAAACCAAATCCACATAGTTACAATGATCCGATGAGTACCTCCTTCTTCCCTTTTTTTTAGTTTTGGGACTTTTTCTTTTTAGGGTTTTGGGTTTTTTTTTTTTAGGGTTTTGGATAGGTAGGCTCTAATAACATGGAAACTACTTTCATATATTTGATAAAGGTCTATTTCCACAATATGGCATTCTATTTATAATAGAATAGAGAATATGGAAAAGACTAAAACGGTTCTAAACCTACAATAGCCCTAACACATAACAATATATATCAGTCTTTAACATTATTATTATTTTTGGGTGCTGATATATTTAGTTATTTTAGTCATAGGTAAGTGTACATTTGGTGTGCTTGACACACTTATCAACTCGTTATGATGTGAAAATTTTAAAACAATTTTGAGTTACTGATTATCAAGTTGTTTATATAGTGGCAGACTCATATATTTATGTGTAATACATGACATGTGGGTTAAATGTGATGACTTCTGAGATCTTATATCATGAAATTTTCATGTTACTTAAGAAGAATGCCTTGTCATCAGGATTATGTTCCTTCTACATTTTGTTAGTAATATTCTTTGCAGAATGTTATTACCTTTATTTGTTTGAGTTACCAATTGCATGTGCATGCATGGTTGTGTCTGTAGTTTCATAGCTTTCTTTCTTTCCTGCAGTGTTCACTCTTATCACTAGGAGGAAGGGTGAAAGATGATCACATCTCCCTTCTAATCAATGCTGGCCTTCTTGTAAGTGAACTCTGCTTCTGATGAATTTGTCATATTGTTTCAGTTTGTTGAAATTCCATGATTGGATATATCATGTGACTACTTGCTGTGTTACATCATAAAAGTGATTTCCTTTATTAAATTCAGTAATTAGATCAAATTAGAATTACATCCTATATTGTTAATGTCACTGGATGGATTTACTCGAATGGACAAGTGTAAACTGGCACATGAAAATGGTTTTCACTGATTTTATATTTTTATTTAGTTGAATGCATATCTGGGTTTTTATAACTCCTTTTGTCTTTCTTTTTAATTTTCCCCCAGATGGTACTTATGCAATTCCATTTCCCTTTAGTTTTCTTCTTTTCCTCTTAATGCATGGTTGCTCTTAAACATGCTTGATGTCCCCTTGAGTCTGTTTCTGTTCTAACAATGACATTTTCCTTTCAGACTCGCCAATTGATTGATCCAAATATGTATTGGTTTGCAATCCCAAATATTGGTTCGATACTGAAAGGCATCTCCCAGGTAAATAACCTCTTTTAGTTAATTTTTCTGCAACAACTAGTGGATGTAAATATTTGCTTATCATATTCCATCTGTTACAAGTTCACTGAGTTTCAGTGTTTTCACTCACCAGGTCTGTTAGGTTCCTATAATTCTGAGGCAATATGATAGGTTTTGTTTTGCCAAGAAGGGGGAGAATGTTTATCCTTGATAGGTTGCTTACTTATGTATCCCAAGTTGTGGGCATATTGTGAATTAGGTGCTTGGATTTATAAAAATACCAACGCACTGTTGGAACTATACAGTAAATGTAACGGTCCATTTTGCTGATTATGAAAAGAAGTTAAAACAGATATTTAAAACAGAATCCCATTGAATTATGTTATTTTGGGTTCCCAGTTGCCAAAACTTTTGGTTTTGCATATTTCAGTTCCATCAAATTAAGAGGTCGGAAGGAGCCTGAACTTAGGAACTGGATGTAATATTAAAACCTGTGGACTTATACTTGAGTATGAATTGCATACATATAGATACTTATTCTCCAAAACATTTTAAACAGTTTGAATAATTTAGATGCTGTTTAGGTCTAGCAAGGTCAGAATGCTTTTATATTTTATAGGGAGATATTTAAGTTTTTAGTCCTCTACTCTGTCAGCACTGTACTTACAGTTTCTTATTTTGCTCGGTACTCAGGGAAGGAAGGAACTCATCTCTCTTTTAAATCGTAGAAGATATAAAGAAATGATGTTGGTCCCTTTGGAGAAGAAGCGCCTTCGATTGTCTCCTCTTGATATGAGATTTCACCTTCGTGACTTGATTGGATCTGGACATCTCAAAACTGCCCATTCACCAACTGGCATAGTTGTTCGGGTTTCAAAAGATTAGATCACAGGAGGATACCGCTAGCAGTGGCAGTTGGATTATTTCTTCTCTTTTGGCTTAGCTTTGAATATGAGGTGTAGTTACTAATTCACTGGAGTCATTAGCTTTTAATGCTTTATGTAATCTGTTAATAAATTATGAAAAATTTTGATCAGGTTGATGAATGAAGAACAAACAATAACTTTCTTGCAATCATGCACATCAGCATAGACGAATGCAGGATGAAGTGAGTTTTTTCTCTTTTAAATCTTGTATTATTCATTTATTCGGCAACCTTCCATTATTGATTAAACTGCTGTAAGGCATAACACTAATAATATTTCAGTTGGTAGCATGTCATGGTCAATTCCAAATTCATCTACTTTTTTTATTTTTTTGTTTTTGTTTCTATCAACTTGCAAATCTAACGTTTCATTACTTCCCTTTTGATCTCCCCATCTTTAAACTGAAGTTAACCACTGTAAATGATTTTTAAAGAGTCATGTAGATCCAAACCATAACTGAGAGCAATTGAATACATATACCAAAGATGTTGACAAAATATTTTGAACATTGGAATGCTAGGGCTGCTGAAAGTCTTGAATTGAGAATAAAACCTTATGCTTTACTATTAATATCATACTCGTATACATACTAGAAAGCAAAATATTTTGAAAGTAAAAATTTGTTGGTAAACATTTCATGCTCATTGACCACATTTATAAGCACTTTCATTTATATATGTAATTGTTGTCTTTGTGTGCTTAAATGTTTGAAAAAAAAAAGGGGGAACTGTAAGAAACATCTTCCCCTTGAAATGTTGTTCATTTAAAAGATCCTATGATCAAATACGCGTAATTTCTAAATAATATAGTGAAAATAGTCAAACAAATATAGAGTTTATAAGACTTTTTTCTCACTCATTAGGAAATTCTTAAGAATGTAAATTGTTTTAAACAAATTTAGAAGAGAAGATATAAGATTTGAATCAATGGGGTAAAGAATCAAATCAAATTGTAACATTGATATGGATTAAGGTTTTTGACAATGGTGCAGCTGCCACCTAGTGGAATCTCAAAGGATTAGAAGGAATATATTGTTGCTGCTGCAACATTCATTAGTGTTAAATTTATCTTTGATCTTGGTGTAACAATCTCCAAGGAAAATGTTTTGCTTTGCTTGCAAATCTACTCTAAGAGAGAAAATCCATGATATGGTCTGGTAGTAACTTGGCTGATATGCCTTATGCTTCAGAATTTTAGGTAGTTGATGAAATTTAGCAGAAGGAAAAAACATCAGCTGAATTCAGTGACATGACCATTCGGTCAAAAGTAAGGATATCAAGCTTCTATCAGAAATAAATGCATTCCTGAGAAAGTCATCTATGTGTTAGGGGAATGTGTTTATTTAATGGAACACGATGCTTATACTGGTAAATATGATTTGTGGTGACAAGCTGTGAGAATAGTCATCTGACCTTTGATTTAATTGAAGATGTTGGATTAGAAGTTAATGTTAGAGAAGATTATGCTTTTATTCTGTCATTACTTCCCCAACAGTCTCTACTGTGAATTCTTCTCATTGATCGAGTTTGGGAGTATCACCATCTATGGGAGCCGATGTTACATCTTCTAAATTATGTGAATCTAATATTGTTACATCAATTGTATTGTCATACTAACTAGAGAGAGAAAGAAAGAAAGAAAGAAAAAATGTAGGACCCGCAAGATTTTAGAGTCTTGTGATCTCCGTGCAGAAATGACTTCTAGTAGGCTTATATGGAGAACTGGATTCCTGTTGCCAGCTCCTCATAATTAGGACAATTAATTGTTGAATGATTATTTTTTGGGGTCCATGATGTTGTAGACTTGCATGGTCATTAATAACCGTAGGATTTGTCATATTTGCATTGAGTTCTCATAAGTGTGATAAGAGTTGTGAGAAGAACTTTAATCCTATTAAAGCAAGGTACTTTTTCATCTATGCCATAAGGTGGAAAGCTTGCATCAGTTGTATGTCTTGGCTATTTGCTTTAATTGAAAAAATCCATCCTGTCCTATTGGTCTGTATGTATTTTTACTATATCCATAGGTTGCTTCAACACTATCCATTCATCCGATTGCTTATATTTATTCTATTATCTTTGATAAGTTGTTTTCGAGTTGGTTGCTCGTAGAAATATTAGATGTGAAAATTGAATGTGGATTTATGCTTGTGATGGTGAGAGCATTGATGTGTATGGGCGGCTGTTGATTAGTGTGTGTTGATTTACTTATTTCTTTAGTTTTGAAACCGATTTCATATTTTTTGTGCCATGCTCAGTGGGTAATATGTTCATCTGAAAACACTTTGACAATGGTATGAATTATTGGTTTCCTGAATTTAGAATCAACATTTCCCCTTTTAAGGACTAAAGGTATTAAGATAGGGTGTTTAGGATAGTGTTTAATTTTTCAAGGGAATGGATCAAATCCAAAAGTATACGAGGGATGATATGCAAGTGATTCAGTCTTTTTTTTTATTTTTCTTTTTCTTTTAGATTTTCTATGCCCTGTACTATGTATGTTATTATAAACTATTAAAGTTAGAGAACTTAATAATTATAATTTTGTTTGGACATGAATGCTCGAATAATATGAGAGTAAAGGTAGCTAAACGTGCGACCAAATCTTAGCCAAAAGTATGACTAAATCAGCATCCAGGCACCTTCCCTTCCTGCCAAAAGTGAGCCCTTTCATGCAATGGAAAACAATCATGTTGTTGGTGGTTTGCATCCCTGTGGGCTCATCATTCATCCGGATGCTGACTACTAAGCACAAATACCTTGCCTAAAACCTCCCAGGCCAGCCCATGGGGCTGAATGCCGAGAACTCAACGTCATGTGGTGCTAGCTGACAACTCAGGCTTGTCCTTGGGCAATCAAAGGGTTTGCTAAACGCTTGTTTTCCCATTTTTAAACGATGATGAATTTGCCAACATTAGCTTCATATTACTTGTTTTCACATTCTTAGTTTTTTTTTTGTTCTTCTTTTCCTAAGTGGAGGATTGAGACGGGTAAGCAAGAGTGTTTTCTATTTTTGGTCCCCTCCGTGTATCCTTTTCTTCTACTCCCATAGAATTTTTTAATAAAATAAAACTAGATATGTGTTACGCTAATCATGTTGATGTAATGTTTCCAAAATTTTCCACGCCCCCTTGGATTTATCAAGAGCTATCAAATTAGGCCATGTAGTTGCATGATAAAAACATTTCCGTGCCAGCTCTTCAATGAACTTAATTTCTTTTTCGTTTTCCCCTTTTAACATGATAATACATCTATACAAATTATCATTATCATTTACATACGTGACAATAATCAAGTTGACTAATGTAAATCATGATGGAAAAAGAACGCCTCATCAAGGTACGTATAGGAATCTCTCTACAGGGTATTTAACAAAATGCCTTGAGGCAATATGCGTTTAGAGCAAGTATTTAAACGAAGAAAGGGTATACCTTACCATAATAATTAAATATAACCTTGCAAAAGTATTTGCACATACGTTTAAAGAATGATTAGAAAGGCGTCAGCGTCATGAGAATTAATGTGGGGATAAATTAAATTGCAATGTAATCTGTGAATCTCAAATCTCTTATTTAAATGCAAATATTCTCACACAAGGGAAAACAATTGCCGTTTGGTAGTGTAGGAATATCTTAGATGTTGGTGACATACTTGATTTTGTTCCTTGTTTGATTACAACTCTTTGTGCTGCATTTTCCATTTAATTAGAATCGCGAGATAATAGGCAGAGGGGGATTGTTTAATAATTTTCTGACCTGTAGTTAGGAAAGCGCTTCAAGACTAACAGAGTGGAGTTAGGCGGATAAGTTTTCTTAAAGGTTGTTTAAACGGTTTGCTTTAAGATTCTATATATGTATTGTTTTTTGTTGCTGTCATTGTGAGGTGGCGTGTCAACAGTTGTTCAAATTTTAATTTCAGTTTTGTGGGCGTTGAGGGACCATTTTTGGATAGTTTCCAGAGGGGCTGGGAGTATGAAACTTTTGTCAGTGTTCCTCTTGAGCTGACACAAGAAAAAAATAAAAAAGGATGAAGTGGGGTTTGAGAGGGAGAAGGAAAAAAGAAAAAAGTGGTCCCTTGAAACCCAAACTGAGAAAGGATACTCCCAAGATTTTTTCAAAGGAGAATACTAGTATTAGTCCTAGCTAGTTGGTAAAGAACTAAAGGGGCATATACCTTACTCGATCACTCTCATTTGGAGGCTTAATTAAGAGCAGTTTAAATTAAACACTCAATGGGATTAATTCTGGCCTTTGAGTAGAAGAGAAAATAAAGGGTATTGCATGACATGAAGTTGGGTTGATTGTAGGTTAGATCAGAGCTACCTGCCAAAATAAACATTAATGTGGTAGAAGAAAATAGGTAAATTTGAAAATACTAATAATTTGGATTAGGCTTTAGGAGGGGTGTGTGTGGATCCCAGAGTTAAATCCAATGTGCAATCAGAGACCTGCAGATGTTATTAGCTAGAGCAGTTATCATGGCCTCCCTAATTGTGTATAGATGCTTATTTTTAATTATGGGAGATGGTAGGCCATTTTACATAAGAATCTCAGATTGATTGATATAGCCTGTGAAAACATTATTATTTGTCAATATTTATCGACAACCAAGCAGTACAAGACACGCGTCTTCTTTGTCCCTGACAACATGTAAAATTAAGAATCTAAGATGTTTGTATGATGTATGTAGCCGGAGCCGTTGCTGTAGCACTATAACAATTTTCACGTTTCAAGTTGTAATTTATCTCACTTTCTCTGAAATCCTTTGAGCTGACACAAGGGGATCAATTTCAGACTAATGGTCTATCTTAGCTTAGCTTAAACATCACGGATTACTGTGACAGCTGCTGAATCTGATAGGCCTCTCTTTCTCCATTATTGAACATCTCAAGTACAGCCTACAGCGAGAAAGAGAGCCTCATTATTGGGAAACAAACAACGCAGGTCAGATTTCAGAACAAGTTCAACAGCTTACCCTCAAATAGATTAGGGTGGGGAGGTGAAAACAACGGCTTTGGCTGAGAAATAGATCGCAGAGTTTGTGTGCGTGTTTTACAAAATTATTAGGTGGGCAATAGCTTTCAAGAGCCAGCACACTTAGTCATCAAATCTAGGGTTCTTGTTTTTCTTCTTCTTCTTCCGGAATCCAGATTACCAAGCAAATAATAATGGAACGGAATGGACGGGAGCGATCTCATCCTCGGAAACAGGAAGCCAAGATGTTGTTGTTGATTTTTGGATATGTGGGTCTTTTGAAATTGAAATAATTATATTGGAAAAAGGAACAGAATC